AGCGCCAACACCACACCTACCACATTTCATGTTCTCCTTATTTTTTGTCGTTTTCTTCAATGACTTTAAGCAGTAATCAATATTCATTGAAAAGCTAAAAAGCTAAAGCGAATCACGTGCTTAAAGCCAATTGCTTTCAGAGAAACAAAAAAACAGAACATAATGAACCTTAGACGAGAAAAAAAAACGTCGAGATGCATATCTTGCCTGGCAAAGATGAAAACACGGCTTGGTCATAAAAATCAAAAGATTTACCCCCAATCTATGCAATGGCAACAACGACAACAACAACAAGAAAAAAAAACCAAATCTTTTGACCTGAATATTTTATAGAAAATCAAGTTGAATTCAAACAAACCAACATCAGAAGCTGTAGCAAAAAATGGCTAAAAATAGAAGAAAATACCCACAGAGAGAGATACTACGGCCATAAAACTATTACAAGGTTATTATGTAGCCATTTTATGGACTGTCAGGACAGACGGCACGGACAAGAGGACAAGTGTAAACGACAATATGCAATTACAAAAGTTGTAGAACTTATTTGGTTTTCGCCAGATGCCAACAAGTACCTCATTTTTTCTACATCTCCATGAGAGGAAGGAGAAAATGTGGGTGGAAGAAGGTAGGGATGCTGACAATGGCTGCCGTACAATCAAGCATTATCCTTTCTTAAATGTTTTACATCAGGAGCGAAACTAGGACATTACCATGTACAAGTGCATAAATGAGAAGTCATTCATTCATATGTATTAGTTAGGTAGGCAGGCAGGCAGGCAGGCGATGGGAGACACAAATACTACTTGAGAGCTTGGCGATGTTGGCACTTGGAATGGGAACTAAGTTCTTGGAAAAGGAAAAAATAAACGAGGAATGGAATTGAATTCAAATACCGGAAGAGATATTTTATTCCAAAAAAAGAACTGGTGATCTTCTTACACAGAAGACCTTGTGATCTTCCATAGATGACTTGGTGGCCTTCTTCCATAGTAGACCTTGGAAATCTTTTTCTACAGAAGACCTCCGTGTCTTCCTCTATATAAGACCTGGAGATCTTCTTCTATGGAAAGCCAATCTCTTCTTCTATGGAAGACCTGGAGTTTTTCTTCTACTGTAGAAGACCTGGGGGTCTTCTTGTACTATAGAAGACCTGGAGGTCTTCTTCTACTATATAAGTCCTGGAGGTCTCCTTCTACTAAGAGCATGAGACCTTCTATTATAGAAGACCATAAGGCCTTTTACTATAGAAGACCATAAGGTCGTCTACTATTGGGGGCAATGAGGTCTTCTTTGGAAGACCAGGGGCTCTTCTTCTTCGGAGAAGTTAGTCCAGCATTTCTTTTCACAGGAAAAAAATGATCGGAAACGTGAAGTACTTCAGCTCAGAAGGGATAGGGGATTTATTCTAAAGAAGACCTGGTTATGTAGGGGTCTTCCTAGAAGACTATGAGATCTTCTTGTATAGAAGACCATGAGATCTTCTTCTATAGAATACCATGAGATCATCTTTAATAGAAGACCATGAGATCTTCTTTTATAGAAAACCATGAGACCGTCTGTGAAAGACCATGAGTTCTTCTTCGGAGAAGTTAGTCCAGTATTTTTACAGGAAAAATATCATCAGAAACGAGGAGTACTTCAACTCAGAAGACCTGAGGGACTTCTTCTATAGAAGACCTGCAGATCTAGGAGATATAAGGTCTTCTCCCATAGATGACCTGTGAGCCTTCTTCCATAGAAGACCTGGAGGTCTTCTTCTTTCATAGAAGACCTGGAGGTCCTCTCCATCCATAGAAGAACTGGAAGTCCTCTTCTTCCATAGAAGACCTGGAGGCCTTCTTGCACAGTAGACCTGAAGATCTTCTTCCACAGAAGACCTGAAGATCTTCTTCCACAGAAGACCTGAAGATCTTCTCTGTGATGTTCTGGTGGTCTTTTGTAATAAAATACCTGGTCGTCTTCTGCCCTAGAAGTCCCAAAGATCTTATATGTGGTCTTCTGGTGGTCTTTTGCCATAGAAGACTGGTGGTCTTTTGCCATAGAAGACTGGTGGGCTTCTGCCCTAGAAGACCTGGTGGTCTTTTGCCATAGATCTTCTCTGTGGTCTTCTGGTGGTCTTTTGCCATAGAAGACTGGTGGTCTTCTGCCCTAGAAGACCTGGTGGTCTTTTGCCATAGAAGACCTGGTGAGCATATGCCATGAAAGACCTGGTGGTCCCCTGCCATAGCAGACCAAGCGGTCTTCTGTCATAGAAGACCTAGTGGTCTTCTGGCATAGAAGATCTGGTGGTCTTTTTCCATAGAAGACCTGGTGGTCTTTTGCCATAGAAGACCTGGTGCTCTTTTATATAGAAGACCTAGAGATCTTCTCCTGTAAAAGATCTGACCGTCTTCTCCCATAGAAGACCTGGAGATATTCTCCTATAGAAGAACTAGAGGTCTTGGTCTTGAAGAACTAGAAGACTTGGAGATATAGAAGACCTGGGGTCTTCCTCTATAGAAGTCCTGGGGGTTTTCTTCAGTAGAAGACCAAGAGGTCTTCTCTTATAGGAGTCCTGGAGGTCCTCTAGGGAAAAACTCTTGAAAATCTTCCAAAAACATCATCCTCTTACGGAATCCCTTCCATAAATTTCGCCTCAGAACTCAATTTTTCATTGAACATTTTTTTTTTTTTGCACAACCGATTCTCTAGACTTACTTAGCCATTATTTTGCATTAACTAGGCTACAAAGTAACATATTGTGTTTTCTTGCTATTATTGCTATTGTTATTATTATTATTGTTGTTGCTGAAACAATTTTTAATATTTCAAAATATTTGTACAAATGTATTTTTATGAATACTCGACGTTCTCGCCACTTGGTGTTGTGCCCTCATCATCTCTCCCAAAATCAACAGTTCTTAGACATGTTTCAGTTTTTTTTTTTTTCTACAGCGATGTTGTTGTATTCGAATATTCAACTTGTTGTTGCTCGTCGTATTAAATATTTTTTGTCTTCTATAATAGATGCAAGTTAGCGAGCTGCTAGAAAGCCAGCAACCAGACCCCAAACAGCGCCAAAATAGCGCTCTGCCGTCGTCTTCTTCATCATTGCCGCTGTCGTTTTCTATGTGCGTTCATTTGTTCGCTTATTTATTTAGCGTTTTTCTGTTTGCTTTTAAATTTAGCGCAAAAAACACTAACTGACTGAACGATACGACTTATTCCCAATCCGCACACAAACACCACCCTTGGTACACATCTAAAGGAGCAGCATTAGCACCGATCGACCGACCGACACACACACTCATTCGTACGTACATTTTAAATAATAATCGCTAGACAAATTCTGTGGGGACTGCTCCAAAAAAAAAAAAGTTGATACCAAAAAATACCCCTTCATACCCAGACACTTGTCATGGAATGATGTATGCACATGCATACATATGTACGATATTTGTATGTATGTGTGTATTCGAATATTTTAATACCAAATGAAGATTATGATGGAATCGATGCCAAAACGCCATCATCGTTAAATATTTGAAATCAATTGTCTTTTCAATAGAAAAGTTGGCGAAGAGAACTTATTAGAGCTTTTGACCCAGAAAACGGAAGGTTTTTTTTGAAGATTTTCTTCAAGAAAACAACTTAGGGGTCTTCTAAAGATATCTGTATATATTTTATAAAAGCCCTGGATATCTTCTTTAATAGAAGATCTAGAGTCCTTCTTCTATAGAATATCTGGAGGCTCTCTTCGATAAAAAGCCTGTAAGTCCTCTTCGATAAAAATCCTAGTGGTTTTCTATTCGGAATGAAAATCCGGAGCCCTTTTTACATAGAAGATTTTGAGGTCTTCTTCAATGGAAGACCAGCAGATATTTTTCCATAGAAGACCTTAAAGTCCCTGGTGGTCTTCTTTCGAAGAAAAAGAAACGTTTGCAAAGGAAACTTATTAGATCTTTTGATCCAGAAATCCGTAGGTATTTTGAAGATTTTCTTCCAGAAAAAAACCCTGGATGTCTCCAATAGAAGATCTAGAGTCCTTCTTCTATAGAATATCTGGAGGTTATCTTCTATAGAAAGCCTGGAGGTCCTCTTCGATAACAATCCTAGTGGTTTTCTATCCGGAATGAAAATCCGGAGGTCTTTTTCAATAGAAGACCTGGTGGTCTTTTATAGAAGACCTGGTAGTCTTCTCTAGAAGACCCGGTAGTCTTCTCTAAAAGACCCGGTGGTCTTCTCTAGAAGACCTGGTGGTCTACTCTCAAAGAGCTGGTGGTTTTCTCTCGAAGAGCTGAAGGTTTTCTCTCGATGAGCTGGTCATCTTCTCTGGAAGAGCTGGTTGTCTTCTCTAGAAGACTTGGTGATCTTATCTCGAAGATTTGGTGATCTTCTCTAGATGAGTTTGTGTTCTTATCTCGAAGACCTGGTGCTCTTCTCTCAAAAACCTGGTGCTCTTCTCTCGAAGACCTGGTGCTCTTCTCTCGAAGACCTGGTGCTCTTCTCTCGAAGACCTGGTGCTCTTCTCTCGAAGACCTGGTGCTCTTCTCTCGAAGACCTGATGCTCTTCTCTCGAAGTCCTAGTGCTCTGCTCTAAAATACCAGGTGGTCTTATCTCGATGACCTGGTGATCATCTCTAAAAGAGCTGGTGCTCTTCTCTCGACGAGCGGGTGCTCTTCTCTAGACGAGTTGGTGCTCTTCTCTAGACGAGTTGGTACTCTTCTCTCGACGAGCTGGTTCTCTTCTCTCGACAAGCTGGTGCTCTTCTTTCAAAGAACTGGTGCTCTTCTCTAGAAGAGCTGGTGTTTTTTTCTAAAAGAATTACAGGTGTTCTCTCTCTCTCAAATTCATAAAAAATTAAACCTGTTTATTCTTAATTTAACTTTATTTTGGATCTCATCAAATTCAAATATCAAAATTTCAAAATAATATCCCTCATAATTTTTGGATTTTCCAATATTTTGAATATTTCTCAATTTATATTTATACTTTCTCTCTTCATCTCTATCCATTTCAGATTTTACAAAATTTGGGTAAAGTTGATCGCACCGCAGATGAAATTTTCGATGATCATTTGAATAATTTCAATCGCCAACAACAAAATGCCAATAGATTACAAAAAGAATTCAATAATTACATTAGATGTATAAGAGGTAAGTAGATCACTCTCTCCCTCTCTTATCTCTCTCTTCTACAAAACTAATTGATTTGTTTTATTTTTATCCTTCAGCTGCACAAATTGCATCCAAATCCTTGATGGATGCCATATTTGAAATCTATGAGCCCCAATGGAGCGGTTATGATGCTCTCAGTGCACAAGTCCAATCGGCCGAATCATTATGGCAGGATTTCTCCCACAAATTGGCCGATCAAGTATTGATTCCATTGAACACCTATACAGGACAATTTCCAGAAATGAAGGTAAGAGAGAAATTCATTTTTCAAAATTGCTAATTTTATTGACTCCTTTCTTTTTTTTGTCCTTAGAAAAAAGTCGAAAAGCGCAACAGAAAACTCATCGATTATGATAGTCAACGTCACTCGTTCCAAAGTCTACAGGCCAATGCCAACAAACGTAAAGACGATGTGAAATTGACCAAGGGCCGGGAACAGTTGGAGGAAGCCAGACGCACATATGAACTATTGAACACTGAATTGCACGATGAACTACCGGCCTTGTATGAATCGAGAATATTGTTTTTGGTTACCAATTTGCAGACCCTCTTTGCCACAGAACAAGTTTTCCACAATGAAACGGCTAAGGTGGGCAGAAATGATATTGAAATTTCTATATTTAAATATTTCTAATTTAAAATAAGTTTCAATTTGCAAAAATAATCTCGAATAAAAAATACTTGCAGATCTACTCCGAACTTGAGGCCATTGTTGACAAATTGGCTACAGAATCCCAACGTGGTTCAAATACTTTGAGAAAAGTGACATGTAAGTTCCCAGTTTGCCTTTAAAAAATCAAATTATTATCATCACCTTGTGTCCTCCACTTCCAGCCAATGCCATCAAAGCTTCCAGTCCTGTACAGTCACCAGTCAAACAAATGAACGATGCCAATCTAAGCAACAGCATTCAATATCAAAATACCAATGGTTCTACCAATCGTAAGTATTGCGCTGACAACAACGAAAAACAAAAATAACAAAAATGTTGAGGAAAACCAACCAAATTCCCCCTTTGACCAAATTTAGTTGGCTCCTTTTGAAGCGAAAATTAATTTAATTTTGTAAAATTTTGTGGTTTGTTATTTTTTAATTTGTTTTTGAGTTTGTTGTTTTAGTTAACATTTTTAAATTCGTTTGTTATACGTTATTGTTGTATTTTTTACTTTGGAAAAACAAAATTAACACCATTTGTTTTTGGTTGAAAAAAATTATTTTAGTTTCATAAAAAAAATGGCGAAGTTAATTCTCCATTTTTAATCACCCCCTTAATTTAACAGAAAAATTTGATTTTGTTTTATTTCTTTGCTTTATTTTCCACTTTTTTTCTTTATTATATCTTCTTCTTTTTTATAAAAATTTGTGAAAAAAATTGCCAAAAACAATAGTGAATTAACTAAAATCATCACAGCAATATAAATACATTTCCATGTCACTCAATATCCATAATATTCTTTTGAAATATTTAAATTTAGGATTTTAAAGCTAAACATATTATTTAAATTAAAACAATGATATACAGATAAATATAAAAAATATATATAATTATAAATGTTAATTTTGCTGTCAATGTGAATGAATATTATATTTATATATACAGCTATGTGTGTGATTTGCATATTTTTTTTATTTCAAAATTTCTTTAGAATTCACAAGAAAATTTCAAAAGCAAAGACGCGGACCTGCATAGGCAACACTTTCAATAACCCTTTACTACATTCAAATGCGAAACTTGAAAAAAAATCGGTGAATAATGTAGCTAAAATCATCAATATAGGGAGGTACTATTGTATTTGGGCTATACAGAAAATGTGGACATGCACGGACAATTTTCTGCTTTAGGCTACAGTGTCCATTACGAACTTCAAATGCCATATTTGAAACGATTCCTGAGAATAATGGCGCTAAAATCATCAAACTACCGAATATCGGGAGCTACCGTTATATGGGGGCTATACGAAAACGTGGACCTGCACAGACAATCTCCAGTCATAGGCTGTAGCACCCATTGCGAACATTAAATACCAAACTTGAAGCAATTCCGGTGAATAATGCCGATAAAATCATCAAAATACCGAATATCAAGAGCTACCGTTATATGGGGGCTATACCAAAATGTGGACATGCACGGACAATTTTCTGCCTTGGGCTACAGTATCCATTACGAACTTCCAATGCCAAATTTAAAACAATTCCGATGAATAATGTCGCTAAAATCGTCAAAATAACGAATATCGGGAAGAACCGTTACATAGGGGCTATATGAAGACGTGGACCTACACAGACAATTATCTGTCTTAGATTGTAGTACCCATTACGAACTTCAACTACCAAATTTAAAACAATTCCTGTGAATAATGTCGCTAAAATCATCAAAATACCGAATATCGGGAGCTACCGTTGTTTGGGAGCTATACGAAGACGTGGACCTGCACAGACAATTTTCTGTCTTAGGCTGTAGTACCCATTACGAACTTCAACTAGCAAATTTGAAAGAATTCTGATGAATATTGTCGCTAAAATCATCAAAATACCGAATATCGGGAAGTACCGTTATATGGGGGCTATACGAAGACGTGGACCTACACAGACAATTTTCTGTCTTAGGCTGTAGCGTCCATTGCGAACATAAAATACCAAATTTGAAACAATTCGGTGAATATTGTCACCTAAAGCATCAAAATACCGAATATCGGGAGGTACTGTTATATGGGGGCTGTACCAAAACGTGGACCTACATGGTCCATTTTCAATACCAAAAGTCCTGCAGACATAATAGTAGATTGATAAAATTCAATCTACTTCAATTCATTCGGAAGCTAGAGTGATTTCCACAGACGGACGGACATCGCTAAATCGACATAGAATTTTATGCTGAATATATATACTTTGTGGGGTCTAAAATGTGTATTTCGAGGTGTTACAAACGGAATGAGAAACTCATAATAATAGCCATTCTTCTATTCTATTGAAATGCTTTTGAAATTTTCTTTCAACTTATTTCATTTTAATTTTTATAATTTTTTCCCTTTCTTTTGGCAATTTAAAATACATATTTTATTATCATATCATATAAATAGCAATTAAGATATAAAACTAATCTCTATTTAAAATGCATTCCAATATGTAACATACGTACCCATTTTTGACACCTCTGATTGTGATCAGAATCTTTAAACAGTTCTAGCTAGGACTGCCTTAAATGTATCTTACTAACCGGAAATTACCGTAGAAGGTTGGATATTGTAGAATATCAAATGGTATCCCCCTTGGTGTTTGTAGAAATATGTTAAAATATTTGGGAATTAGACTAGGTGATAATGATTGGTAACAGGCTCACCATATTCTAACTAACGTAAACATTTTGAAAACATCCAATTTTTATTATTTATAGTACTTAGAAAACACTAAAACAATTCACAATAGTTGGAAAAGTCAATATTATTTCATATATAAATAGGATTTAATACAAGGATTGTTAATATATTAGTCTTGGGATTTTTTTTGCGTCGTCTTACTCTTAAACGACTGATTTATATGGGCCGATACTTGATCTTTTTATTTCCCTCTTGGGTTTTTTATTTTGCAACGCTTAAAAAAAATAGGCAAACTTCTTCTCTTCGTCTTAAACGTCTGATTTATATGGGTCAATACTTGATCTCTCTATTTCCTTCTTTTTTATTAAACAAATTGTGGTATTTTTTTATGTTCCTAGGTATTGTTTGATAAAAGGTTTTGACAGACAACTGTAAAATGGATACTATAATTGTCTTATTTCAAAATTTCCATAAACATTTCATAGAATTCCAGCCAAATTGCGATCAGGAATACCATTTTATGTATTTTTAATAATTTCTTCGAAAACGCCTGAAAGTATGCTTTGATTTTTATAAATGACCATTGCTATCTGCAAAGCTGCCATTGCAACAGGAAATATTTTAAATATGAACGAAATAACATTAAATGGACAACATTATGGATTGCATTTTATATAGAGAGTTACGTACATATATACAATATTATTTATTAAATAAACATATGCTTAGCTTAAATATATACATGATCTTACTGCTTGCTGCTGCTGTGCATGAAAATCGAAACAAAATCAAATTTTTCTTTGGCAAAATTAAGTTAGTCTCATTTTAATTTTTGCGAATTGAAATCAAAAACGAAACCATAAACAAAATATTAAAAAAAAATACTGCATGAGCTGACATGTTTTATTTTCTTTCTTTTTCTACTCCTTTATTCCAACACTGCTGCAATATTTTTACTTGTCTTGATGATGCGTTCGTTCGTTCGTTAATGATGACAATAATCATATTAATAATAATAATGACAACAATAATGATGTTTAAATTTTCATTTTATTAATTTTTATAATTTTACTCTTTTGCGTTTTTTATGTAAATTTGTGTTGCATTTTAATTTTTTTATTTTCGATTATTGGAATGTATTTGAAATAACACACAAATCACATCAAACAAAACAAAACCCCAACATTATTTATGTTTGTGCACAAATTCTATCGAAATGCATCATTTCCTATTGAACAAAAACTCCTCCCATCACATTATATATCAAATATTTCCAACAACAAATGAAACCAAACCAAAAAACAAAAACAAATCAAAAAATAGCACCATCACCCAGTACTTCTTCTACACAAGAACCCAGACCTGATAACGTTTCTCCAACACCAGAAACATCAGCCGCAGCTGTAGCCGCAGCAGCATCATCATCTGCAATGGCACCAAGCTCACCCAGTGGCCAAGCCGTGGAAAGAACGAGTATTGGCAATTTGGTAAGTGATGCCACCGCAGTGGACTCCAATACCAATACCCCACAACATGCAGTGACAAATCCCAATGGCAATGCCTTGCCAGAATTAGTGGCCAGAAGATCAACTTCCACCAGCGAGGAGAAAACATTAACCACCACCAGTGCCAATAACATGGAGAGCAGCACCAAAGATTTGGATAAGGATATGAATAATGCCGCCGCAAGCACAACAATAACCAAGACCGTTACAAGCGAGGAGAAAACTATTAAGACCACAAATACCACCGAAGGACAACAGCTCAATGGTAACGACAATGGCAATAACAATGATGATGGGGATCAGGCAGTAGCTGTAGGTGTCACAACCACCACAAATGGTAATGCCAATGACAGCGATCTAACCACATCCCTACCAGCCAGAGGTACCAAATCCAATAATGCCAATGCCAATAATATGCCCACAGCAACATCAGCAGCAGCAGCAGCAGGAACAGATGATGATAACACTAAAAAACAATCTGGAGGTAATAATCATTTGAATCATGACAATGATCTGAATAGAAATAGAAGTAGCATTGTAGTTGAACAAAGTAAAAATCCCTTTGAAGATGAGGATGATGAAGATGAGCGAATCTACGAAATACCCAAGGGTGAGTATCGTTGTTTCGTCCGTTTGTTTTACTCGGATGATGATGATTGCCTGTCTGTTTGTTTGTCGGTCGTCTGTCTGTCTGTCTATCAGTATGTATGTATGGGCCTCTCTGTCTCTTTCTCAAATCGACTTCTCTCTCTCTCTTTCTCAGTAGTAGAGCAAGTGCAAAATTTGTTTGGACTTCACAAATATTAGCCCACGGCTGTTTGTTATGCCAAATTTATCTCTGGGATATTGTGTTTGTTTTAATTTTTAACTTTTTCTTTCTATTGTCCTGACCCTGTACTATCCTTTTGTGTGTTCTATTATCCTTATTTGTATATTTACAAAAAATAAATAAAAATATACATATGTGTGTAGGTAAAATAAACCATTCAAGAGAGCTGTATTGTCCTCTATAGTTCGAAAGTCTTTTGAGGGGTCTTCTTTGTTATCGACCAATGAACCCCTTGGGAGTTCCTGCATCAATGCAAGACCCTTAGAAAGTTATTTCATCGAACTTTCAATTCTCTCAAAAAGATTTTATTAAACAGTGTCTTGCAAAGTCTTCTTCCCTCAAAATTCCCTCTCAAAAGACATGTAACAATCGACAGTACTTTTAGGACCTTATGCTTCTCTTATTTACAAAAGACCCAGAAACGTTTTCGTCATTAGTAGACCTTTCAAAAGATATCTTGGAGAGATCATAAACCAATCGATATGGCTTCTAGGACTGGAAGTACGTCGTCTGCAAAGATTTTTTTGTTTTCAGGGGACCTTTTAAGATACCTCCCAAAACAGAAAAACCTTTTAAAACAAGCTCCCATTTATAGAACCTGTCTCAATATGTGTTATGCCCTTTCCAAGATTTACTAATACACACATATGTATGTATATATATATTACTGTACAGTAAGTGTTTTTCAAAATTATATTCTTTTAACAATTGGTTGTGGTAAATGTGTTCTGTTTTCCAAATTTTGATTACGTATGTAAATTATTTAAAATTTATTGGTTTGAGATCGTATTCCTCCTTGTCCTTTTTCTCCTACTCCTACTTCTCCTTCCGCACTCTGTTTGTGAATCAGCACAACTGGACTCTCATTACATGGAATGTTGTTGCAACAGCAACAAAGTTCACAAGTAAGAAAAATTGGGTAAAAAACATACATATATTCATGTAAATTTATACAATACATACATATATACATACATTTTTATACACTTCTTGAGTCAGCGAAGATATCATCTGTCATAATTACTGGATGTAATGATGACATTGCATGTAAAACAAAAATAACATTGAAATGTATTTTAAATATCTAAATAATATTGAAAAATATTTTATGTGAAGTAGTATTATAAGAAAATGATGAGCCGGTATCGAACTGGCCTCTAAGGGGTTTTTAGTTACATATTTTTTCATTATTATGTTGCTTAAATATTTTTGAGGGACTTTTTGGTCTACAAATCAATTGGGAAATATCTCCAAGATCCTTGCAATTATTAAAATCAGCGGGTATCTTTAAATAAGAGCTGTACCAACGGGTGGACGTATTTGGATTTTTTTCTTTGTAAATAGCGTTTCTACATAATAATAACCTAAAATTAAATGGAAAACATGGCCGAAACGTAAAAAATACTTGAAATCTGAGTTATCCTTAAGAGGGGACCCTTCCTCTCAAAATGGACGTATTCATACCATTGATTCTGGATGTAATCCAAAGATCTCTATCAAATTTCAAAGCTCTATCTTAAATATTGCAAAATATATCTGAAAATATATATGAGCCTCTTTGTATACAGTCAAAACAATATACAAGATGAGATAAAAAAAAAAAACTGCAACAAAGTCAAACGCCATAATTTTTATTTTTTTCTTTAAATTTTATTGAATGAAATCAAATTTTAGAATAAGTTTAGATTTGTTCGAATTGGTCATCGTTGGAACGAATTATGGTCTCTAAACGGCCAATGAAACCGTCACATGCTGCCCGAATGTTGTTCTACGATATTTTGGGCCATTCGCGGCGAAGCGCTTGCTTGAAGTGATCGACACTTTGGTATTTTTTAGTGGCAACCTTGCTTTCCAAGATACTCCAGACACAATAGTCCAACGGATTGGTATCCGGAGATTGTGGCCATTGTGAGCTGGATATAAAGCGATGAACCTCATTTTGTAACCATTCTTGGGTGACGCGAGCTGAGTCCGATGGTGCTGAGTCCTGTTGGAATGTCCAAGGTCTACGGCCAAAATGTTTGAGTGGCCAAGGCTTTAATACACCCTCCAGAATATTTTCGCCATTTATTTGATGCCACGGTCGATTAATATGAGCGAAGGGAGACCATCGACTCTTATGGCGGCCCACACCATCACCATGGTCGGCGCTTGAGTTCTGTTGGCCAACCGAACACATGCACATTTTCAGCATCAAATTTTAGAATAAGTTTAGATTTGTCGAATTGTTCACCATTGGCACGAATTATGGCCTTCAAACGACTAATGAAACCGTCACATGCTGCCCGAATGTTGTTCTACGATATTTTGGGCCATTCGCGGCGATGTGCTCGATTGAAGTGATCGACACTTTGGTATTTTTTAGTGGTAACCTTGCTTTCCAAAATACTCCAGACACAATAGTCCAACGGATTGGTATTCGGAGATTTTAGTTTTCATTGTGTGCTGGAAATAAAGCGAGGAACCTCATTTTGTAACCATTCTTGGGTGGCGCGTGCTGAGTGCAATGGGGCTGAGTCCTGTTGGAATGTCCAAGGTCTACGGCCAAAATGTTTGAGTGGCCAAGACTTTAATACGCCCTCCAGAATATTTTCGCCATAATATTCGACATTTATTTTGATGCCGCGGTCGATTAATATGAGCGAAGAGCGACCATCGACTGTTATGGCGGCCCACACCATCACCATGGTCGGCGCTTGAGTTCTGGTGGTCAACCGATGGTGCTCGTTTTCCGTTGACCACTATGTTCGTTTACAAACTGCTGGACAACGAATGTTCGGCAGTTCACCACTTTCGGCCAAGCGAAGCAACTCTTTAGCTTTTTTGAGTCTATTTTCTTTTTGTTGTAGTGTAAGTTCTTGCACTTTTTGGAATTTCAATGGCGTTATCCGGAGCTCATTTTTCAATATTTGCCAAATGGAATATTGCGATATACTATATGTTCAGTTCACGAGCCATTTTTCGGCCACTGCGACGCGGGTTTCAATCAAGTCGCTGGGCTACGCTACCAGTATCACGGTAACGAGCGATGGAACGAGACACAAAATATTTATTCACATTTAAATAGTGAAGTGCTCTAATGATAGCCACTTGTGGTTTTCCAGCCAAATATAAAAAAATCGCACTATCACGCTTTAATACCATCACGAATAACTTTTTTTTCTGGAAAATTCTCACCAAAATGCTGATTTATGTTGGGATTTTTTATCCTTGTCTTTTGTTGGGTGAATTGTTGTATTTTTTGGGTCTTCTTTAGGTCTTGTCTGGGCAAAACTATTTTCAAGTGGTCACTATAGTTCTTTCATATCATAAATCTATAAAAACCATAGAGAATTCATAAGAAAATGTCAAATTTGATAACAGATTCATTTGAATTTGTGATTTCCTTGGAAACGCCTAAAATTATGCTTTGCTTTTTATAAATTACCATTGCTATCAGAAACAATACGATGGCAACAGAGATCATTTTAATGATGAATAAAAATAACAATAGCCAAACATTTTAAAGAATATTTTCTAGAGGGAATAATATAAAAATATTTTTAAGACAAAGCGTAAAGGTCTTTTGAATATTTTAAACATTTTTATTATTCAATATACGTTTAATATACGTTTCTTTAATATGTTGCCGAATCATAATATTGGAATACTTTAAGGATTTCCAAAGTTTTTGTTATTTAAAGAAGATTTCGAAGGTCTTTTTGGACTATAACATACGTTTTTTAAAAATGTCTTGTAAACCTTCTTTGGCCATAAACGTGAGATATTCATAGAATATTTTTTAAGGACTTTCTATTTTCAGGAATATTTTTACGGGGCATATAAGCATATTGCTTTGATAATATATGTTGTGTTCCAGACTCTGCAAGAATTTATTAATTTTGCAATTTTTACCATATCATAAAGGGAAAATCACTTATCGCTGTAAAAGCTTTAACATTCTTGCAGTTCCGGAACAGATCAAAAATGTTTACATTTTCTTTTTTTAATTTCACAGTAGGTATTTAAAAGAGTTGTAGCATTATAATAAAAAATATGTGATTCATCTTCATTATGAAAAAAAGAACAAATCATGAAAATGTTTGAACTCACTTCTTAACCAACAAATAACAAAAAAAATGTTTTCTAACCTCAATTTTTCAAATCTAACCAATAACAAAAGCAAGCGGATTTGCCAGACAATGCATGCTGTGTTGTGACATGATTATTTCAGTTATTCAATGATCGTTTTTGTACTAAACTCCCCCCAAAGAGAAGATTACTTAACCCCTTCGCTCTCTCTAACCTAACAATTTTTTTGTAGAATGACAGAAAAAGGAAGAAACAATGTGGAACGACTGCCCCGCCGCCCGATCTCTTGCACCCTGTTGTACACATCTTCCTTCTACTTCTATATTCTATTTTTTTTTTATTTTTCCTGGACGAAACTTTTACTGAAATGCGCTTTTAAATGTGCCTGCCAAATATTTTTTTAGAACTAAAAACAAATATATATTCTCAATGCCTTTTTTGGTTAGATTTTAGTTGGGTATAATTAATTATCTTGTTGTTGTGATTTTTATTGATGTTTTTTTTTTTTCAATTTTCTACCCCCTCGTTGTTTGTCCTGTAGATGCCACCACTACCGATTTGCCACCCGGTGTTCTTTATCGTGTAAAGGCCACCTATGGTTATGTCAAGGAGGACGTTGACGAATTGAGTTTCGAGGTTGGCGATATTATTCGTGTCATTGAATACGATGATCCCGAGGATCAGGTGAGTTTTATTTGAATTTATTTATTGAATTGTTAAAAATGTTTAGTGCTTCATTTTGTAGAAGGGTTATCAGGGTTTTTGAATATTTTAAGAATTTGTATACCCTCCACCTTGGAATGGTGTCATTCCATTTGTAAGATCCCTAAATATTCGTCGTAGACCCCATAAGGTATATACAGGGAGAGTCAAACGCCATAATTTTTACAATTTTTTTTTAAATTTTATTAAATGAAAGAAAAAAATGTCGGAAATAGCATCAAATTTTAGAATAAGTTTAGATCTGTTCGAATTGGTCACCTTTGGCACGAATTATGGCCTTCAGACGACTAATGAAACCGTCACACGCTGCCCGAATGTTGCTCTGCAGTATTTTGGCACATTCCAGGCGAAACACTTGCTTGAGGTGATCGACACTTTGGTATTTTTAGTGCAAACCAAGATACTCCAGACACAATAGTCCAACGGATTGGTATCCGGATTGTTTGGTGCGCTGGAAATGAAGCGAGAAACCTCATTTTGTAACCATTGTTGGGTGGCGCGTGCTAAGTGCGATGGTGCTGAGTCCTGTTGAAATGTCCAAGCTCTGCGGTCAAAATGTTTGTGTGCCCAAGGCTTTAATACATCCTACATAATATTTTCGCCATAATATTCGGAATTTATTCTAATCGGTCGATTAATACAAGCGGAGAGCGACCATCGACTGTTATGGCGGCCCACAACACCACTATTGCCGGCGCTAGAGTTCTGGTGGCCAAACGAAGGTGCACATGTTAAGCTGGCCTCTTTTGCAAGCAAACACGATCATTGTGTTTATTTACAAACTGTGGGACAATGAATGTTTTCTCATCGTATAAAACCAAATTCGGCAGTTCACCACTTTCGGCCAAGCGAAGCAACTCTTTAGCTCTTTTCAGTCTATTTTCTTTCTGTTACGGTGTAAGTTCTTGCACTTTTTGTAATGTCAATAACTTTACCCCGAGCTCATTTTTCAATGCCAATGGAATATTGCAATCTGTTCAGCTCATGAGCCATTTTTCGGCCACTGTGACGCGGGTTTCGATCAAGTCACTCTTCTTTACTTTTCTTCCGTCCACTTCCTTGACGTCGGGCTACGCTAAAAGTGTCACAGTAACGAGCGATGGTACGAGACACAAACGATTTATTCACATTTAAATGCTGGAGTGCTCCAACGATAGCCACTTGTGGCTTTCCAGCCAAATATAAAGAAATCACACTATCACGCTTGAATTCCATCACGAATCACTTTTTTTCTGGAAAATTCTCAACAAAATGCTTTTGTAAGCTGTAAACAATATGTCGGACTAGTGGCTTAGAAATGATAGCAGTCCGAAGTTGGTTGCAGTTTTTTCTGCTCGCCCTGTATATTCATAGTCAGCATAAAATTCTAGGTCGATTTAACGATGTCCGTCTGTCTGTTGGTATAGTCCCCATTTAACAACACTTCTCAATATTCGGTATTTTGAAGATTTTTGCCACATTTTCCCACGGATTTAGCTATAAATTGGTCTTGGTAGGCCATTATCGGTTCTAGCTCGTGTGGCGAAACATTGTATGTAATCCTACAGGTTTTGGTATAGCCTCCATATAAAGGTACCTCCCGATATTCGGTATTTTAATGATTTTTGCCACATTTTTTAACGGATTTGTCCAAAAATTGGTATTTGTAGTTCGTAATGGATTCTAGTTCGTGCGGCAAAACATTGTATCGTTTTGATATATCCTCCATATAACGGTACCACCCGATATTCGGTATTTCATGATTTTTGCCACATTTTTTTAACGGATTGGTCTGAAAATTGGTATTTGTAATTCGCAGTGGGTTCTAGCTCCAGTGGCGGAGCATAGTATAAATGTCTACGTTTTGGTATAGCTCCCATATAACGGTACCTCCTGATATTCGGTATTTTGAGGATTTTTGCCACATTTTTAACGGATTCGTCAACAAATTGGCATTTGTAGTTCGCAATGGGTTCTTCTAGCTCGTGTGGCAAAACATTGTATGTATAGGTCCACGTTTTGGTATAGCCCCAGATAACAGTACCTCTCTATATTCGGTATTTTGGTGATTTTCGCCACATTTTTTCACGGATTTTTCTAAAAAATTGTCTTTGTAGGTCATTATTGGTTCTAGCTCGTGTGGCAAATCTTTGTATGCATAGGTCTACGTTTTGGTATAGCCTCCATATAAAGGTATCTCCCGATATTCGGTATTTTGATGATTTTTATCACATTTTTCTACGAATTTGTCTTAAATTTGGTATTTGTAGGTCATAATGGGTTCTAGCCCGGTGGCAGAACATTGACCTTTCGATATTCGGTAATTTAATAATCCTAGTCACGTTTACCCAAGAAATTGTTTCAAATTTAGTATCTAAGAAGATTTGGTAGATGACAATACTTGAAGTATAAAATTGTCTATAGAGGTTCCCGTTTTGGTATGACCCCCATATAACGGCCATTTCCACTTTATTTAACAGCATTTTCCATGCGGTCTTAATGGTATTTGTAGTTGAAAGGTGAACACGTTTGAATTCAGATACTATAGCATAAAAATGTTTTCTTTACCCAAAGGTGGAGGGTATTAAAAGTTCGACCCGGTCGAACTTAGTGTTGTTTTCTACTTGTTCACGAATATTTGGAATTACTTTAAGAAATATACGATAGAATAATTGCTAAATGACCATAAACATAGATTTAAAAAAGGCCACAAGTTCTTGGGATATTTTTAACAATTCTAATCAGGACTTTGAGGAAAAATTTTTAAAGAATAGGACATTTTCAAATTGTTCCCAATTTTTATATCGATTTTTATGTGCTTTAACTTGTTCTGTTTCAAAATCTGCAAGGTTCTAATAGTTTCGCATTTTTTTCGATCCCATAAAGGCATAATCGTTTATGGTGGTGAAAACTTTTACATTCGTGCAGTTCTGGAACAGAACAACTGTGTTTCGTCCGCATTAGCTTTACAAAGAATCTGTGTTGTGTACCGCCAATCCTGCCCAAAAAGCAAAGCATGATTTTCCTGTTTCTCTTTTGATGAATGTCATTTGAACTCCGGTATCATTAATGCCATATCTAATGTAGTTTTTCATTCAAAATTTGCAGGAAGAAGGATGGCTGATGGGTGAGAAGGAGGGTACAAACGAGAAGGGTCTCTTCCCGGCCAACTTCACTAGGCCCATCTAGGGAGCAGGCGGTGGCGGCCGAGGCATCGGCAGCAAAATCAGCAGTAGCAGCATCACCAGAACAAAACTCAACAACTGTCAACGGTTAAGAAACCAAAAATCAATCAAAATGTATTCAGAGAGCAGCACACAAACAGCAACAACAGCAATTACAAAACGCAATACAAACCAACAAAAGCAGCAACATATGAATCAATAAATATATTTATTTAATTTAATATTTTAGAACAAGAACAAAGCAACAACAGTAACAACAAAATCTTCATTGAAAGTATAAATAAAACACCCCTCTCCTCCCAAAAAAATATACCACATTCATTTTTAGTAGCACAAACTCCCCCTCTAAAGCAATACAATACATAATAACAATAGCAACAACAAACAATACATTTTCTTTTCAATTTTTTCTTCTTTTTTGGAGAAAAACAAAAACGCAATGTAGAAAGCTTAAATTTTTTGTAAAGAAAGTAGCCAAAACAAGAATCATATATTTCTTATTAAAAAAAAAAATAAAACTCAAGTTTGATGACGATGATTCAATTATTGAAACTAATTTATATTTATTTATGATTGATACTTCTTCTTGATGTTATAAAACAAAAAAGTTTTCATTTTAGCTGACTAAAAACAACGCAGAACAAATTTTAATTCTTTTATTAATTTATTACTTTGCTTTAATTAAAAAATTTCAAAAATTTGTTTTCCATTTTCTCTACTATTTTATTATTTAATATTTAATAAAATAAAAGGCAACAAATTAATTAAATTCAACACTAAATTAACAATTGAAAGAAAAAAAAAACAACGGAACAGACTTACATTTTTTGTGCAACATTTGGCCAAGTAATATTTATTAATAATGAATAATACCGACACACGCATATATACAAACATTATATATTATTAATGACGACGACAACAACAACTACAACAAAAAGAAACAATTTTTTATTATTATTACTGAAAAAAGTCTTAGTTTTAACGAAAACAAAACAAATGAAAAGCAGAACGTACGTGAATATATAATGCAAGCATAAAAACAAACCAACAAATAAATAAACATTATTAATTGTTATTGTTAATTTAATAAAAATTTACATAAATAAAATAAAAATCCCAAAAAAAAAAAAACAAAAATGTTTTTTTTATTTTATAAAGAACGTAAATTTCAAAGAAGTCGTACTGAAACATTGGGTTTTCAAAAAAAAAATTTTTTTGAGGTTATAAAGTCTTTGGGAAAATAATCACATATACCTTCATAGAATCCTTGTGAAATGTAGTCAGTTTTTTTAGAATCCCCAGCATAAAATAATCTCTCAATAATCTCTTAAGGTATCTATACGTCTAGAGTTTATTAATGCAAGCATTTTAATGTTTATAGGTGTGTCTGATTACTTTTTCTGCAGGAATTGTCCAGCGACATCTTTTTGAGAGAGTAAGGTAGTTTTATTCTCTTTTGCAAGAAAAATGCAAAAAGTCAACAGATCTTGAATGTAAACGTTGTAATGAATTTTACATTTACCATTTTTATTCAATGTTGTACAATAAATTGGATAGGAACACTACGATTTGTCAAATATGAAAGAGAATGAACTGCAATGCCATTCTCGGTAATCATCACTAACTGTGTCGATAATACCGTTTCCCAATTTGGCGTTAAACAATCGACATACATACTAAAAACTAGTTTCGATATACTAATTCAAAATATCGATAGCTACACATACATTTGATAAAGGGTTGGGCATATTGCACTAAATTTTTAGTGCACTAAGAATTAAATAATTAGTGGTAGTGCAATTTTTAATTCCACTACCACTAAAGGGTTAGTGGTAGTGAAAAATAAATTGCACTACCACTAACCCTTTAGTGATATTAAAAAAAAATTGCACTACCACTAAATTTTAGTGGTAGTGAAATTTTAATAGCACTACCACTAAATTTAGTGATTTTCCAAAAAAAAATTGCACTACCACTAAATTTTAGCGAAGCCAAAAAAAGCACTATGTATATAAATAAGTATTATACCAGCTATAATGAAGATTATTGAAGTGAGTAGGGAACAACAATCCAGAATATATAGTACATATTCATTAAATTTGATTACTTTTCTAAATAGCACTAATTTAGTGCTATTTTTTATGAAATACCACTAATTTAGTGCAAGTTTTTTTAAATACCACTAAATTTATTGGTAGTGCTATTGAAATTTCACTACCACTAAAATTTAGTGGTAGTGCAATTTATTTTTCACTACCACTAACCCTTTAGTGGTAGTGGAATTAAAAATTGCACTACCACTAAACGAACAGTGTTAGTGAAATTGTTAGTGCACTAAAAATACAGTGCATTATGCCCATCTCTGAATTGATAGACATTAGATAGATTTAAAGGATAGCCTCAATAGTTCATAATAACCCAGATATGATCAGTTATTAGCGGTTTAACTAAAAATAGCATAATAAATGTCCTTGGAATTATGAATAAAAAGAAAAATATAATAAAAACAAAAATATAATATCATTAGATACTGTGACAAGTAACGTAATGAGAATGGTAAACGCTACGGTAAGATAATATCCAACTTTTTTGTCAAAAAGGCAAGAGCTAGACTTGGACATATGGTCTCAGCAAGACGGCACCACACAGCACGCATAACAATGGAAGGCAACATCAGCATTTACACCGGCCAAAAAATGGAAATGAAAAAGTTGGATTAGGCGGATGGGGCATTTGAGCTACTGTCTCCGTCAACATTTGTATAAAATAATCTTAAAACATTAAATTATATAGACCGTGGAATACTTTTTTTTATTTTATGTGTTTTTTTACTTTCCTATTGATCTGAATCACCTCTTTTTCTACATGACACGATAAAACGCTTGGCGCGCTGTAAGCGGGCTCGTTATAGCCATTTGGCTGATACTCAAGTTGCAAGAATCTTCAAAAAACTGCGTTACCGACATACTACTTTTTCAACTTTTTACCAATTAAAATACGTTTAAAGAACAAAAGAAATGTCTTTAATTTTATGGCACATCTTTATAAATATTTATTCATTATAAAATAAACATCCAATCATTTATCTTAAAACATAAAATAACCAAAATAACACCTTGGATTCGGATACCCTTAATTTTGTTTTATGCTAGGAACACAATTGGAGCGAACGACGAATTTCGCCCTACGCGGCGACAAAATGAGCCGCGAAAATTCGTCGTATGGAACACAATACCGACGAAATTATAAAACAGCTGATGAAGTTGTTTACTTTTTGCTCATTTGTTGACTACAATGAAAATTATACAAGAACTCACAATTCTTTATAATTTCAGTTATGTCCATCTTCTCTATTATAAATTCACTGATATCCATCCTCACTCAGGCGCAAGTGCACAAATAAATAAACAAATTATTTATGTTTTTTTATACGAATAACAGATAGTAGAGTGACCATAACAAATTTTTAAGTAAAAAGTAACTTTATTTACTAAAACACATAAAATTCGTACAAGTATGGCCACCTTGCACTGTTTTGTCGCCGTTCGCCGGCGTATGAAATAGAAATAAAGCTAATTGAGTTCGCGGCGACCGACGAAATTTTCGCCGCCGCCGTGATTGTGTGCACTTCCATATACACATATGGTTTTTATTTTTGACGACGAACATACGCCGCGAAAAAATTCGTCGTTCGCTCCAATTGTGTTCCTAGCATTAGTTGTTCCTTGGTGCTGGCGGCATTTCGTCCCAAAGTATCGATAAAAAGAAAATTAGCAATCGATACCAAATTTTGAAACAACTTATCGATACTATCGACTTAGCATCGACTGTTTGCCAGCTCTAGGCTTGGAACTTAAGTTGTGTTGGTGTGTGGTAATAAAGAGAATTTTTCTACACGGAATATAGAATAAATTTAATACGTTTTTTTAACAATATTTCTACTCAAAAGTCTATGAAACATATACGGGCAATGTTGTTATAACCGGGAGTGGTGTAATATTGTAAAAAATTGGTGTTTTTCCAAAGGTATACAAGGCATGAAAAAATATATATTTTTGCCATCATTGTGTCGTGAATGTAAATTTGATTCTTGTCGGCGAAGACGACGACTGCGGCGCCAGCAGAGCGACTGTGTGTGAATGAGAGAAATGAAATGAAAAAAGAATCAACTCCAATGGGAGCCCGGAAAAATTCTAATTGGAATGATATCCTCTAATTATGGAATTGGAAAAATCATAGAATAAAAAAATTAATGGATCTTTCGTTTACAATATAAAAAAATTAACGGATTATTTTAATATTCAACATGAAAAAAATAATTTTTATTGTGCTGCTGCTTGTGTTTGTTGTTTTATTAAAATAAAAACGAAAATTAATGAAAGTGAGAATAAATTCTTATAAGAAACCATAACCGAATTATGGTGGTTCTGTACGGATGTGTATTTTGCTTTTCATGGGCTCGTCACTTTTTTCTTTGCCAAATGGAGGAGGAAGCATATTGAGAGAATGCTCTAAGAAGAAGAATAAGCAGCAAGCAAACAAGTAGAAGTGAACGAGAAAAAAGGTCGAAAAAGAAAAGTGAAGTGATCAATATAAGAGCAAAGCAGGCAGGCAGGCAAATGAAGAAAGAAAAGTAGCAAGGCAAATAATTGTGTGTGCGGAAAAATACAGAAATAACAATAATAATAATGTTAATGTAATCTAATTGAATTTGAATAGAGCTATTAAAGTTTAAATGAGCAATACAAAGTAGTTAATGTGTGTAGTCAGTAGTGAGTTTTCGGTCGTCGGTCGGTGGCTTTGTCGAGTTCGAGTGTGTGTGTGTCATTTTCTTAATTCGCAGCAGTAGCAGCGGCGGCAGCAATAAGAAAACGACGAAGAGGACTCGCGGACGGACATGTATACTTTGGTGTCACACAATAAAATGTGTGTGGAGTGTGTGTGCGTGCGGGTGTAATGTAGATGAAGAAAAATGAAACTGCCGGTCGGGTCGGTCGTCAAGAATCATTATATGAGAGGGTGTAAAAAACCATAAACCTCCGCTTGTGTGTTCTAAACGCAATTTCATGGAAAATCTAAAAAAATATTGTGACAAAGAATATTACAAACTACCAAAGAGATTTTTCATGAAATCATATATAATTAAAGTGTGAAATTTAATTAGTTAATTGCTAAATGTTTTGCATTGCTGATTCCTTGTAGTTCTCCTCCTTCTCTCTCCACACACAAGAGTTTTTTCTGTGTCTTTGTGAATATTTTTTTCTCATTTATTCTATGATGGAACCTCGCCCTGCATATTATGTGTATATATTGTGTCTTCTTCTTCTTTGCGTTTTTGCGGTGTATTCTTGAATTAATATTTTCCCCCAACTGATTACTCGGTTACCGATGCAGTATTTCGTTGCTTTCTTAGCAAATTAAAACATTAAATAATTTTAAATATAGCTTGGTTTATCTGATTTAAATTGTGGTTTTTGTTTGATTTTTAAATCGTCTATGTGGTTAGAAAGTCCATTTTGTTATTAATTCCCACGGAGAGTAGTCATACTACCAAATACCCGCATGACTGTCCTCTCACTGCTCAATCACAAATAATATTGTGAACGAAAGAGAGTTTTCTTTTTTAGAGCCCTTCCATCATCACCCCCATCCTTCGTCTGGTCTAACGTCATTCATGCAAGAAGCAAAAACTGAAAAAGAACACACAAATAAAAAGAAATAGCGATAACTTCTTGTCATTCGTTTTAATGTTTACTTTATGGCGGTCGATAATACTGTTGCTGCTTGTTTTGACTATACGACAGAGCCAGAGCAACAACAACAGTAGTCACACAGTCACGCAATTTCATTTGTTTTTGTGGGGAGAAATGCAAAACATTTTTGGTCCGTGTGTATGTGCGTGTGTTTGAGCCTATATCAATTTTTTCCCCCAATAAGAAATTTTCTGTATTGCTGCCTGCCACACTTGTTCTTTCTTATGTCCTTTTTGCGTGTCATACATTCATTGATAAATTTTACAATGACACAAGTTGAGTAATGAAATCCTCCATTTCATGAGAGACCAAGAGAGAATTGTATCAATGAAAGGCAGATGCCAATGAGAAAAAATTTGACAATTGAAAAATGCGATTTTCGTGAAAAATTTTGGCATTCGAAGGCATTTTTGGAAAAAAGTAATAGTCCTAAACGTATTTTTACAAAAAATCCACCACAACGAAGTTTTATAAGCTTATAACAAGATATTTAAGGAATTTTCACGTTTTACAGTGAATTTTATATCAAATTTTTCCCCTAGTGGTGGCGGTGTGGTCATTGCTTAAACAACGATTTCCAGGCAACATGATAAACAAATTTTCTTTGTGAAAGATGTGTGGTATGCATTTTCATTTCATTTTTTTATTTTTTTAAGAGATCGAGGGAATTTGTGAGACACAAGTCTGCCCCCGGCCACCTTGTTGTAGATAAGTATCTATGGCGCTATATGTCATCAACAAAATTGGGAATTTTCTCAATGAAATACAAAAGAAGAAGAATGCATCCGTATTAATTTATGATAGTGCATTGAACTCATATCCATTGGTAAATGAAATACAGTATGTGTCGCTTAAATCAAGTATTTAAAAAATTGCACAAAAATGTTTCTTTATAATGATTACATCATGGTACAATGAAGAGAAGGTAGGTCAACTTTGAAAAAATTGCAAGTATAAAGGTCTACCTGTTTGGCTTGTAATGTCAGAAATAGTATCAAAACAATAACAAAATCAAACAACTTGTTGGATTTATTTTGGATAAATTTGAAAAACGCGATAAATGAATGAAAGGTCAACACTTCTTTTCAAAATCATGTACTATATATCTCTAAAGGAATATTTCGCTACAAAAACTCTAGATTTTGTAGATGCATACGTTGAAATAAACATTTTGAAAACACCCGAATTTGAATATTTTCTGAACAATTTTTTTTGTTTTTGAAAAGAAAACACATACATAAACAAATAAAGATGACATATTAAGCCAAGAAAATAAAAAAATTTAAATCATATGGTATCATAGCCCTACCTTGATATCATTGTACCTTGGATTACATTATCTTTTAGAGTACATACAAAGAAAAATGTACCACGTTTTGGATCAGTCCACCAAATGCAAGACATGCCGGACTGAATCATTATAATGGGTTAGGAGTCATTTTATGGAATTTTACATAAAAATCGGAAAATGGCGAACTGCCCTGGATAGGCTCACGAATTCTATATTTTAGGCCTTGATTTGCCACTAGGCTTTTGGCGTAGACCATATATTTCAATGTCATCATCTCTTTGAGAGTTAACGCTGATGCATACTTAAGGATATCAGTGGCTATTTCAAGCTGAAATCTTCGGCTTATTGAAAACCTTGAATGGGACGTGTAACCGAGGAATCAGGATGCCCTTAGGTGCCTTAAGTCACTCTCCACAAAAAAACAAAACAGTGTTTGATAAGGTGATGAGAGGCTTACAGCAGTCCAAGCTCTACTACTCCACGAAGAAAATGTTATACATATGGAAGAAAGATCACGTGTGTTGAGATCAAAATCAATATATCAGACTAGCAACTGGGAGAAGGTTGATATTAAAGACTGTAGACCCTGTGTAGGTCAGGTGGACACAGTATCAATTGAGCACCTGTTTTGCCGATACAAACGCCTTATAGACCGGAGGCATAGACTATTAGGTTTTTAATTTCCTTGGATGTAACCTTTGACCTTGGTTTGGCTTGAAAATTGACTGTAATCAGTTCAGCGGATGTTCTTGATTAAACATTTAACGCTTACTTTATCATTCCTACCGACTATTCACTCCTATGTATTCCTTTCGGTATAAGATCCAAAACGTATAAGCTTTGAATTTAGATAATCTCAGAGTGAAGTTACTGTTTCGCATTCAAATTCTACCCATGACCTCTGATAAATTTAAACCCTAAACGTTTTGGATCATAAAATTTCATCGGGTATTCAACACTTCCAGTTTCCTCGCACCGAGACCGAGTCTACGATCCAAGTAATCTGTTTACTTGGAAGGTTAATATTTACGTATATTTACAATTTTACAAAATCTACTTCCAATATTGAATGAAATTGAATTGATTCAATATTCCTAAAAGGCCTATGAAATAATTCTGAAATATATTTCGTGCCATATCACTGGTTTCTGGAAGAGCCGAATCGGTCTTGCTTATAAGGTGTTCTTCAATTTAAATCTTTATTGGAAATCCTTGAATAAGTTTGTTGGAAAAATATCAAAATTCTCCAGTTTTGAAGTTTTAACAAGTAATAAATAACGAATTCAAAAAAAATTTTTTTTAAGAATATAAACGCAATTAAAGATTAGCCACAATGAAATCCTAATTATTTTCGGTATTGAACCATTTTAGATGTAACAAAACTTCAAGCGAGTATCATCATCAAAACCAATGAAAATAAAATTACATTGAATCAACAACACCAACCAACAACAACAACAACGGCAACAGCAACACAACCAACTATAGAAAAATATTAATGCGACCCTTTTTATACCTTAACGCTATAAAACAAATAAAACAAATAAAAATAGTTTTGATTCGAAACCAAAAAAAGTGAAGAAAAGCAACGCGTATTATATAGTGCATTTTGAAGTTTTTTTTTTTGCTTACAATCAAAATCTGAAGAAAATAAGGCTCCAACGGAACTGTTTCTGTCTTTTGCACAGCGGGTAAGTTGTAATCAGTTATTATTGATTATTAAAAAAAAAAAATAGCTATTAATATTATTTTTCATAGGTATAAATGTGATACATTGATAAAAATTTGGGGGATTTTTTGGTCAGTCTCAGAGTTTATATTGTGATGATTTCTTTGTGTTTTGGATACTCAGCCATAGTAAATATCACCACCTACCTATTAGGTTATATTGACACGTACAGTGTGAGAAGAAAAAACTGCAACCAACTTCAGAATGCTGTCATTTTTAATAATTTAAAATTATTTCAGGGGCAGGACATTATATTATTTACAATCGTACAAAAGCCTTTTGGTGAGCATTTTCCAGAAAAAAAAAATATTCGTTATGGAATTCAAGTGTGATAGTGTGACTTCTTTATTTTTGGCTGGAAACCCACAAGTGGCTATCGTTAGAGCACTCCAGCATTTTGATGTGAATAAATCTTTTGAGTCTCGTACCATCGCTCGTTACCGTAATACTGGTAGCGTAGCCCGAAGGAAATGGATGGAAGAAAACAGCAACATCAGCAGAAATGGTTCGAAAAGTAAAAAAGCGACTAAAAAATGGCTCGTGAGCTGAATATATCGCAATATTCCATTCGCGATTATTGAAAAATGTCCTCGGTTATTTGGTTTTCTTCGATGAGAAAACATTCGTTGTCAAGCAGTTTTTAAACAAACAAAATGATCGTGTTTACTTGCCAAAGAGGTCAGCTGAAAATGTACACCTTCGGTTGGCCACCAGAACTCAAGCGTCGGCCATGGTGATGGTGTGGGCCGCCATAACAGCCGATTGTCGCTCTCCGTGCGTATTAATCGACCGTGGCATCAGAATAAATGCTGAATATTATCGCGAAAATATTCTGGAGGTTGTATAAAAGCCTTGGACACGCAAACATTTTGGCCGCAGACCTTGGACATTCCAACAGGATTCAACATCCTGTATATATTGTACTCAGTACGTGCCACCCAAAAATGGTTACCAATTCGTTCGAATATTGTATCTGGAGTATTTTGGAAAGCAAGGTTGGCACCACACAATACCAAAGTGTCTATCGCCTCAAGCAAGCGCTTCGCCAGGAATGGGCCAAAATACCGCAGAGCAACATTCGGGCAGCGTATGACGTGACATTAGTCGTCTGAAGGCCATAATTCGTGCCAAAGGTGACCAATTCGAACAAATCTAAACTTATTCTAAAATTTGATCCTATTTCCCACATTTTTTTGCTTTCATTCAATAAGATTAAAAGTTTCTGTTTGGGGTTCGTTATGGAGGAGGCGTCGGCTATCTATACGAAATCCTGAACCATTTTCTATGACACTGATACGTCGAAATGACATAGAGGATACTTGATTCGATAACAATGTCGCTGGGCTTCGATTCGTCAACTTCGTTTCCAACGGACGATCGTCTCACAGATCCAATGAATGACATGTGGCCTTACTTCCAGACAGAGACTTCCAGACAGAGAATTTATTATTTTAACAATTTTTACTACAAGACCTACCTACACTCAAAACAGTAGTAAAATTGTTAGTCAAAGGCTATTATTATGTCCATATTTTCCTCTCTCTTGTGAGATTTGTGTTTTTGTGATTGATTTTCAGAGTTTGCTACTTTACCATTTCAAAAACGTTCTGAAGCACTCGCAAGGTATTCTTTTGTTTACTTCTTCTTCATCTTTTCCATTCTCTGGTCGTTTCTATTTCAAAATCACATCATGACGTTTCCACATTATTCATCGGAGTTAGGGATAAAACAATCATAGCGTATTTAGCGCATATTTTACAATTTTATCACATCAAGATAAGATTAAAAAGTAGATAATTTTCAGTTTATTAGCGCTGACGATCCGCTTTCATTTTACGTAAGGAGTGGTGGTGTGGTGTATTTTAAAAAAAAATATGATTTTCTTCAAATGGTTTTGATTTTCTAAAAAGGTGTTTTTAATGATAAAATATACATTAATTCTAAACGGGCTTGGCTAACAAAGGTGGGGAAGGGCACCATGTCCCAATGTCAAAGTGTGGAAAAAATGTCTTTCAGATATATATTTTTTATAAAAATTCTTTCAATTTGGTGTAACCACAAATTCCAAACGAAATATATTGGTTCTCTTAGAAAGGAAATATTCTTATGAAATAATTTCGACACAAGTTCACACAGCGGATTCAGGTTATTTTTGATATTTTCAAAGGCCTTACCGCCGTTAATTTGATATTTTAAGTTTTTATTGAGTTAAACACATCTTTGGAAAAAATTAGCGGTGTAAGAGCCAGGTTTTGTATTGTAATAGTCTAAGAAATTTCAGGTATTTTGCATGAAATTCTTTACAGGAGTCATTTTAAATAACATTCATGAAATCAGTGTTCAAATTTTTTCAAACATCGCACTTCTACACCTTTTTGTACTATTTTTTAATATTTTATCAAACACACCACGATTTTTTCGCGAAGGTTTCTGTGCCACAGTTTTTGCAATGCACTCCAGAAAAAGAATCACTATTTTTTTTAAATTTCTTGGCCAACGATTATGATTTTTTTCCGGACCCCCCTGAACAAAAAATAGGTATAATTTCTTACAAGGGCATCCTGAAGTAAGAAAATCATATTTTTTAGAAACTTTCTCCGAATTCATGGAATATGTAAAACATCCTAACATGGAGTCCACATATGCGAAGTGGAGGACTGGAAGACCATATAGAACTGGAGGGGGTCAAAAAGCCCTTATAGGCGAGCTAGAGACTTGGGTGTCTATATATTCAAGTTTGGCCAAGCGAAGCAACTCTTTAGCTCTTTTGAGTCTATTTTCTTCCTGTTGCGGTGTAAGTTCTGGCAATTTTTGGAATTTCAATGGATCTACACCGAGCTCATTTTTTAATATTTTCCGAATGGAATATTGCGATATGTTCAGCTCACAATCCATTTTTCGGCCACTGCGACGCGGCTTTCGATCAAGTATTTTCTTTACTATTGGAACCATTTCTGTTGATGTTGCTGTTTTCTTTCGTCCACCTCCTTAACGTCAGCTGTCGGACGAGTGGCTTAGAAATGACAGCAGTCTGAAGTTGGTTGCAGTTTTTTCTCTCATCCTGTACTAGTTGGAGAGGCCATGTTGTCCCTATAAACAGCAGGAGGCCAGGGTGTTCATATAGACTAGCAGGAGGCCAGGGTGTTCCTATAGACTGGCAAGAGGCCAGGTTGTTCTAATGGACTAGATGGTGACCAGATTGTCCCTATAGACTAGCTGGTGGCCAGGTTGTCCCTATGGACTAGCTGGTGGCCAGGTTATCTCTTTAGACTAGGTGGTGGCCAGGTTGTCCCTATAGACTAGGTGGTGGCCAGGTTGTCCCTATAGACTAACTGGTGGACAGGTTGTCACTATAGACTAGCTGGAGGCCAGGTTGTCCCTATAGACTAGGTGGTGGCCAGGTTGTCCCTATAGACTAGCTGGTGGCCAGGTTGTCTCTTTAGACTAGCTGGTGGCCAGGTTGTCTCTTTAGACTAGCTGGTGGCCAGGTTGTCTCTTTAGACTAGCTGGTGGCCAGGTTGTCTCTTTAGACTAGCTGGTGGCCAGGCTGTCTCTTTAGACTAGCTGGTGGCCAGGCTGTCTCTTTAGACTAGCTGGTGGCCAGGTTGTCTCTTTAGACTAGCTGGAGGCCAGGTTGTTCTAATGAACTAGCTGATGACCAGGTTGTCCTTATAGACTAGGTGGTGGCCAGGTTGTCCCTATAGACTAGGTGGTGGCCAGGTTGTTCTAATGGACTAGCTGGTGACCAGATTGTCCCTATAGACTAGGTGGTGGCCAGGTTGTCCCTATAGCCTAGCAGGTTGTCTCTTTAGACTAGCTGATGGCCAGGTTGTCCCTATAGACTACCTGGGGCCAGGTTGTCCCTATAAACTAGCTGGTGGCCAGGTTGTCTCTTTCGACTAGCTGGTGGCCAGATTGCCCCTATAGGTTGTCCCTATAGCCTAGCTGGTGGCCAGGTTGTTCTAATGGACTAGCTGGTGACCAGATTGTTCCTTTAGACTGGCTGGTGGCCAGATTGTCTCTATAAACTAGCTGGAGACCAGGTTGTCCCTATAGACTAGCTGTGGCCAGGTTATCCCTATAGACTAGCTCGTGGCCAGGTTGTCCCCATAGGCTAGCTGGAGGCCAGGTTGTACCTATAGCCTAGCTGATGGACAGGTTGTCCCTATAACCTAGCTGGTGGCCAGGTTGTACCTATAACGTAGCTGGTGAACAGATTGTCCCTATAGACTAGCTGGTGACCAGATTGTCCCTATAGACTAGCTGGTGGCCAGTTGCCTCTTTAGACTAGCTGGTGTCCAGGTTGTCCCTATAGACTAGCTGGTGGCGAGGTTGTCCTCTCGAGACTAGCTGCTGGTGAGGTTGTCCTCTCGAGACTAGCTGGTCGTCAGGTTTTGTTTTTCTCCTTTTCGACATTTATTGGTCTAAAAGTAATTGTTTTTGTATTTTGTTGGTGACTGATTTGGAGAGTTCGTATATTGTCTGACGGTGTGAATTTTCGTCAAACTTTTGCATTTCTTCAACTTTCACATTTCAAATTCTTGGGAGTGGGGGTGAAAATGTCGTGTATCCACAATGCCAAGACACAAACATTAAAATTTTTCTTCAACTTTGGCAGTTTTAAATTTTAAAGAATTCCATTCGTATAAAGGTAATCGGACGCGACAAATTTTTCTGCACAACTTGTTTCCATTAGTATAATTTCCTTAAGGTTTTGATAAATCAACACATATTGCAATCTTATCATTTCTTGAAACAAAAAACTGTTTTACAAATCTAGTGTTCTAAACGAAATGTGACTAATCACACCTTACTTCTGTTTACATTATGAAAAAAATGCTACTTTTCTATGATAACACACAGAGAGGATATGATGTGCTTAAAATGATGAAAAATACAGAAGATGCATAAAAGGCAGCTGAAAAAGGAACTAAAAGAAATTAAGTGCATGACGACAACAAG